TTAAAGGAAAGGTTCCCACTACCCACCACGCCACTGACACCACATGGAGCAAATGGGTTGCCCTCATCACACCCATGTTGGAAACCTGAATTGCCCTGGGATTTTAGAGTTTACAAACTGTCCAGAAGGTGAAAACTTTGGTCTCACTGAGGAAGAGGAACAAGACCAAGTGGCACATGCTGAAGAAACTCCACCATACAACCAGCTGAGTAAACACACTACACTCTTTTCACTGATGATTCCTGTCGCATCATAGGGATGAACCAGAAGTGGAAAGCAGCTGTATGGAGCCCCACAGGACAGGTTGCACAAGCTACCACAGGAGAAGGTGGATCAAGACAACCTGCTGAACTCAAGTCCGTTTAACTGGCCCTGGACATTGCTGAAAGGGAGAAGTGACCAAAGCTCAACCTTTACACTGATTTGTGGATGGTAGCCAATGCTCTGTAGGGCTGGCTGGAAAGGTGAAAAAAGGCCAACTGGCAGCCTAGAGGAAAACCAATCTGGACTGCTGATGTGTGAAAAGACATCGTCACTCAGGTAGAGTAGCTACCTGTGAAAGTCCACCACATAGATGCCCATGTCCCCAAGAGTTGGGCTAATGAGGAACACTGGAACAACAAGCAGGTAGATCAGGCTGCAAAGACAGAGGTGTCGAAGATAGATTTAGACAGATTCTTATCTATGACATTGGCTGAGTATGATCATAAGGGCGAGTTCCTAGCTCGATGGGTCCATGATGCTGCGGGTCATCAGGGCAGAGATGCCACCTACAAGTGGGCATGGGACCGAGGGGTGGATCTAACCATGGACACTGTTTCTCAGGTACTCCATGACTGTGAGACATGTGCTGCCATCAAGCAGGCCAAGCGAGTGAAGCCCCTATGGTAGGGTGGGCGGTGGTCCAAGTACAAGTATGGGGAGGCCTGGCAGATTGACTACATCCCACTGCCCCAGACACGCCAAGGCAAGCACTATGTGCTGACCATGGTGGAAGCCACTGGATGGTTGGAAACCACCCTGTGCCTCACACCACTGCCAGGAACACCATCCTGGGCCTTGAAAAGCAAGTCCTGTGGAGACATGGCATCCCTGAGAGAATTGAGTCGGGCAACAGAACCCATTTCATGAATGGCCTTATAAACACCTGGGCCAGAGAATGTGGTATTGAATGGATATGTCCCTTATCATGCACCAGCTGCCAGGAAAGCTGAACAGAACAATGGACTGCTTAAGACTACCCTGAGGGCACTTGGCTATAAGGGCTAGGGGTTTTTGGTGTCTGTCTGACCCCAGCAGTCGTTGGTGTCCTGGATAGAGGAGTACCGCTGAGTACATCCTGTCCAGGTGCCTCAGTCAGGCTCCCAGCCACAGGCAATCTTAGCAAGCAGCTCAGCTCTTTGAGTGAGATCAGCTCTTTGATGAATTCAGCCCTTTAATAATTTCAGCTCTTTGCTTGCTAAGTGCCTCAGCAGATGAAGGGATGAGAGAAGAGAAGAGTTGTATGAAGTTCCACAGATTTTTATAATAAGCTTTATTGGCAGCTTCTACTAAGGGTGACAGGGACAGCTCTTCTGCCAAACTGGGCAGAAGTAGGGGTTATACGGGGTATGTGGGTTTTGAGAAACAGTCCAACAGAAAGGGTCAAGGTGAATATGACCTATGGTCTTACAGAGAGATAACAAGGGTCCAAAGGTGGAATAGGGTCCACTTGGTCCACTCATCATGACTAGGCATTTCTTATTTTAGGAAACTGACCACCAGGGAGGCCTTGCAAGCCTGTAACTGCTACACTTGGGGGAAAAACCTTTAGAAATTGGGGAAAGGACTTAGCAAAAGTGACCTGGATGGTCAATACCCAAGGGTCCATCAATCGAGCTGGTCCTGTCCAGTCTGAACCCTTGCATACAGTGGATGGAGAAAATGTCCCTGTGGTACATATGAAAGGTATTTTAGGAAAGACTGTTTGGATTAATCCCACCTCAGGCAAAGACAAACACATCCATAGGATTTTTTTGATCAAGGACCTGGTTACACTTGGTGGGTACTGCAGAAAAATGGAGAAACCCATTGTGTACCCCAGGAAAACCTAGTTTTAAGTGAGAACTGTGTGTAAGATTTCATTGAGCAGTGCTTATTTATTTGGGTATGATGCAGATAGTAATAGAATAAGGAGTGAGTAATGCCTTAGGCTGGAAATGGGTGGGTTTATTCTATTCCTATCTGTGGAACAGTTCTCTTCCGTTAAATGTGCAGCTTTATTTATCTCTTCCACAACCAATCCTCCTTCTGGGGCGATATCTTCTAGTGGGCCAGTGAGTCTCACCACATGATTGATCAAATGCCATCATCCCATTGTGAGACGCTCTGCCCAGAGGGAGGAGCCAAGCATTCCTACATGGATAGAATCTGACATTTGGAACACCAGGGCAGCCTTTGCCCACTGCATTCCCAGAGGAGTGGCTCTCTTTCCCCTGGATTTCCAGTGCAAGGCCAGGCCCATCTCCAGCAGCCCTGGACCTTCAGAGGAAAACTCCACCCTTGTGCAGGATCCCTGCTCCAGCAGAACCACCCCTGGCACTGTTGGAGGGCTGAGCCACCATGGAATGGGACTGCTGCCAACAGCCTAACCCACATGGTGTCAGGGCCTGTTCTGACTCTGTCCATAGTTTATTTGTTTGCACTATTACATTTGTATTTTCTTCGTTTTCCTAGTAAAGAACTGTTATTCCTATTCCCATATCTTTGCCTGAGAGGGTTTTAAATTCAAAATTATACCAATTCAGAGGGAGGGGGTTTACATTTTCCATTCCAGGGGAGGCTCCTGCCTTCCTTAGCAGACACCTGTCTTTTCAGTCCAAGACAGGCATCCAGCACTGAAAAACAAGGAGGAGGAAGAAGAGCAGTGGGGCCCATGGAGTAAGCCCAAAAGCGCATTTCCCCATCTCTCCCTCAGCCCCGACTCTCCTCCAGCTCCACCACACACCTCGACACTACAGCTGAGCCACTGCAATGCTCCTGCTCTGCTCTCACCTCCGCCAAGGATGTCCCAGGAAGGGACAAGACACGGCAGTCCACATCATGGAAGAAGGAAAAAGACAAGATGGAGCCATCTCTGCCCAAACTCAAGCACCAGCTCCCTGCAACCCCAGCCTATGTGACAGCCCAGTCCCAAGGCTCCGTTGGCAAGAGAACTGGGGAAATAAATAAAGGGGGAGAGTGCAGGGTCACCTTTCCTAAAGGAAAACAGGTCCAGGGGAGATGGGATCAGCACCAGCACCACCGGTACACAGAGGTGCTCTGTGCAGAAGTAGCAACACAGAACAAGGCAACACAGATTCTCACACCACCGGGCTGTGGGGAAGGAAACACATGTGCCACTGAGTTCTTGGAAAACCTTGGGCAGAGGCAAGGCCATTCCAGCCACATCCCGGCTCCTAATGGACCCCCCTGGGGCTCTTGGCTGGCCCTGGCTCCCTCTGGCAGACGTAGCCACACATGTCCATGTGCTCTTCTCCAGCCACATGTGGGCATTGGCCTCTACTACTGCCCTGGGGCACCCACCACCAATCAAAGATACAGAAATACAAAAAGACCCCCCACAAATAAACTTCTACCGCTATCTTCAAACCATAAACACAACAATCTAAAGTGATTACATAAAGGAAAGCAAAAGCCACTCAAATTCCCGCGCATGCAATTGGCAGTCACACATGGCACAGCCACTCACCCCCAGGCGTTCCTGAGCACAGAATGTTCCACCAGCACCCACGATGATGCCACAGCCAAGGCAGCAGCCAGGAACAAGCACCCAGACATGCCAAGGATGGGTACACAAGGTCAACAAGCACTGACAGGGACTCAGAAATCCCCAGTGATGAGCATTTCAGGAAAGGGAGCACCTTATGTCTGGGGGACTGAGGAGCTGCGTGTTAGGAAGGATGAAAGTTTGAAAAGGAAGTCTGACAGATATGTATATGTGGCAGAAAGATTTTTGAATGTAGAATCTATAGAAGGAATACAAATGAAAGAAATTTGGATATAGAAGAATAATAGATGTGTAAATTGACAATTACTGATCCAGTTCAGCTGGACAACAAAGAAGGCAAAGGTTATGTCGAGATGGAAAGAGGTTTTGTGACTTAGACAAAAGGATAAACCCACCTCAAAAAAGAAGATGAATTTACCAAGCTGAAACATAGCACATGCAAACAAATCTGCCAGTCTTGCCAGTAGAAAAAAGGTCTCAGAATTTTCCACTGGAAGAAAACTGAAAAACAAATTCTAGGTTAAACTGTAACATACCAACTTTTAATGATTAGAGAATAGTAACAAAAATCTCGTAATTAGAGCAGTTATGATAGGCTACGGGTAAAAGAAAAGGTATAGATTGGTTCTACTGCACTAAGACACACAGCAAAGAAAAGCATATAATTAATTGTAACTAAAACCGAATGGCCTCCAGGCCAGCCTGCAGCTGGAGCTGACAGCTGTTAGCACAGCTCTGTCACCCACGACCCTGGACTGCTGTAACCTCTTGGATGTAATAAACTGCAATTTGGAGAGCCACCTGGAGTCACACATCCCTCATTTCAGCTCTTACAGCTGGGGGCAGAGAGTGTCCTGGGGAAGACACTGCTCAGGGCTGGGAGGCAACAGGGCTGCCCAGCCCCTCACTGACAGCATCATGGGTGGGAGGATGGCCCAGGAGGGAGTCACCCTGTGCCCCAGCAGGGACTCTGCCCGTTCCCAGAGCAGAGCCAGGTGTCCCCACCATGTCCCAGCATGGTGCCAGCACCATGAGGGGCAGATGTGGCCATTCCCAGGCAGGACCGTGAGTGTGATAGGAACAGGCAATGGGACTGAGGAGCCCCTGTGCCCAGAGCATGGGACAGTCCCCATATGTCAGCAGCAGGCAGGGACACTCCAAGGTCCCCAGCAGTGCAGACACTATAAGAGGGGTGAGTGGCCCCACCACAGCACCTTTTCTCCACACAACCATGCTGGGAGCCGTCTGTCTCGTCGTGCTGCTGGGCTACGGTAGGTGCAGGGCATGGGGAAGGGTCAGGGCAGGGGGGGAACAGGACCGTGGCGCCTGCCCTGGCCCTGGGCACGGGCACAGGCAGCCTCTGATGTCCCTTTGCCGGGTGTCACACAGCCTACGGATGCGGTCAGCCGGCCGTGCCACCACAGCTGAGCTCCCGCGTGGTGGGCGGTGAAGATGCTGTAGCCCACAGCTGGCCATGGCAGGTGAGGGGCAAAGGGACAGGGATGGAGACAGGGATGGGGACAGGGATGGGGACAGGGATGGGGACGTTCCTGCTCTGACCCTGTGCCTCTGCCCTCACAGATCTCACTGCAGTACAGGAGCGCTGGATCCTGGTACCACACTTGTGGCGGGACCCTCATTGCCCCCCAGTGGGTGCTGACAGCTGCCCACTGCATCAGGTAGGTGGGTGTTGGTTGCTGGGGGCGATCTGTACAAGCAGGATGAGATATTTGTAGGGATTGACACTCTCTCTCTCTCTCCCTGGTAGCTCTTACAAGACCTATCGTGTAGTGCTGGGAATGCAGGACCTGTCAGAGGATGACGAGACTGGTTCTGTGGCTGTTGGTGTGGAGAAGACCATCGTCCATGAGGATTGGGACTCCTACCTCATCATGTAAGGGATGGGATGCATTAGGGCGGGATCGTGGGTGGTGTGGCCACAAAGCCTTTTTCCCCTGGCCATGGAGCCTTGTTCCCATGGCCAAGGACCATGGTTGATGTCCCCCTGTAGCAACGACATTGCCCTGATCAAGCTGGCAGAGGAGGTGCAGGAGACTGACACCGTCCGTGCCGCCTGCCTGCCAGCTGCTGGCAAGATCCTGCCCAACAACTTCCCCTGCTATGTCACCGGCTGGGGACGCATCAGGAGTAAGTGGGGTGTACCTGGGAGAGTCTCCAGAAAGGGGATGCCGGCAGAGGGTGTGAGATACAAGCTTTGTCTCTCGTTGCAGCCAACGGGCCCCTGGCTGATGCCCTGCAGCAGGCTCTGCTGCCCGTGGTGGATTATGAGACCTGCTCCAAGTGGGACTGGTGGGGCAGCTATGTGGATGAAAACATGGTGTGCGCCGGCGGCGATGGCATCGTCTCTTCATGCAACGTGAGTGTGGGCACTGCATGCGGTGGGAGCCCCAATGATGTGGTACCATGGGCACTGGGAGGAGAGGGGATGCAGCCATGGTGGTGGATGGCCAGGACGGATGAGGGGAGTTTTGGCAGGGTGCCCAGGACTGATGGCCCTCACTGTCTCTCCGCACAGGGCGATTCTGGGGGCCCCCTGAACTGCCAGCGCAACGATGGGATCTGGGAGGTCGAGGGCATCGTCAGCTTTGGCTCCACCCTGGGCTGCAACACGAAAAAGAAGCCGTCAGTCTTCACCCGGGTGTCCGCCTACATCGACTGGATCAACGAGGTGGGTGCCTCTTCCTCTGCTCCCCACCCCCACACAGGGGCTGTTCTTGCCCCACTGAGGGTCTTACCATGCCCCCCCTGTGTCTTTTTGGCAGAAAATGAGCACAAACTGAGGACGCAGCATTGTGGAGATACCACCTTTGACCAAGATAAAAACAAAAAAATGTTGAGCTGGTCTTGCTGGTTTTTTCGGGGAAGAGATGTAGTGGAGCTGGGGACACACATCGATGGCTGGGCCTGCTGATGCCAAGGCCCTGCTTGTGTGCTGGGGAAAGTGCCCCTGTTGCGTAGTGGGGCTGGCCAGGACTCTGCACAGGCTGTTGGGCACATCCAGCAAGATGCTTCCAGTCCTCAAGCTGTGGCTGAGGCATGGCCCTTGAGGGTTGGCAGTTACTTAGATGGGACAGGGGCTGGGCTTTGTCCAGGTTATTCAGGAGAACTCCAGGGAACCCAGCGTGCCCTTGGGGACGATCTGGAACACTTGGTAGCTCCCAGATCGCTTTTGGGGACCTCACTGTCACTGCCTAGATGAGGGCTGACTTTCAAATGGGGCTCTTGAGGGAACTGGGTTGGCCTTGGGGAGCTTGAGAGAGTCTGACTGGTTTGAGAGAGGTCAGGGGTGCCTGCAGGGGCTCTCTTGGAGACGGAGCCCTTGGTAGCTCCATGGCACTGCTGGCTCCAACAACAGGACCTGTGACATGGTCCAGGAGCAGAACATCTTACCTTGGATCTCCTTCTGTGGTGGCTGGAGGAACAAGGTGGGTGATGGGCAGCACACTGAAACCCCAGCTGTGGCATTCCCAGGAGGAGCCCGGGCTGCCCTGGAGGAGACTGGGATGTTTTCCAGGAAGAGGGCAGCGTGTTGGTGGGAGCAGGTGTGAAGGAGCTGTCCAGGAAGTGGAGGTGGATGCCACACCATCAACCCCCGAGCAGAGCCATCCATCACACCATCATCCCATCACGGCTGCTGGAGCCCAACCAGGATCCTCACGGGGTGAGGAGGAGGAGGAGAGCGAGCAGGGATGGACGGCAGCAGCTCAGGCTGGGTGGGGGACGTGGTGGACAGTGCCAGGTTTAGGAGCAGTGGTGCCACTGGACCATAGAGCGGCACCATCACCAGCCCACAGAACAGCACTGGCACCTGCACCGAGACCCAAGAGCACTGACACGAGCACTGGCACCGTGGGAGCCACCTGGGGACTCTCCAGAGATCCCTGGCACTTGTCAGCCTGACCATAGCTTTAGCAGGTGAAGAGGGATGCCGGGTGGGAAATGGTTTGGATAGACAGGAAATGTACTATGACTAAGGAACTGTACCAATCATCCCAAAGGCAATTAAAGACCTGCCAGTCAGATGATGTGTGGAGGTGGATACTCTGCACGGCAGGATGGGGCCAGGTGCTTAGGACAATGGTAAGGCATTGGCAGCATGATCTACTGGCTCGGCTGGAGAGCTCCAGGCTGTCTGTGGGAAGCTGCGCAATGTGGGGCCCCCTGTCCCCTCTGTGTGTACCCACATGTACCATGGGGACAGTTGTTTGGGCTGTGAGTACTGGACCCTGGTGTCACAGCCTGTTGTTCATGTCCTTGTGCTTTGTGTCACATCCTCAGAGGGGCTTTGGTGGATGGAGGAGCCCTGGACAAAGGCCCCAGAGTGCCACAAGGCTCTCTGCTGGGGCATCAGCCCTGCCCCAACCAGCCAGGCATGAGCATCCCCCCATAGTGCGTGTCACCTCAATAACCGGTGTCCCGTGTCACCTCAATAACCGATGTCCCCCTGTCCAGGAGGTGGTGAAGAGTTGTGGTCCCTCTGGGTGAAGAACCTTTTTCTAACATCCAGTCTGTCCTTGGCCACAGCTCCAGCCGTTCTTTCGGGTCCTGTCCCTGGTCAGAGACAGAGAGCAGAGATCAGAGCTGCCCCTCGGGAGGAGCTGCAGCCTCCAGAGAGGTCTGACCTCAGTCGCCTCCAGCTGGACAAACCGACTGACTTCCACCTCAACTACTTTTAATCTCTATGGCTGCATAGAGTTTCATGAATATTTGCTACACTTCCATGTTAATTGTCAATTATTGTTATATTCTGCTCATACAATTTATAACTGACACAGTAAATCTACAGGTTAACCTAAAGAAGTGTAAGCTTTATTTTTATTAAATGGCTAACATCTTATGTGCACCCTATTGGATGTGTCCATTATTAAGTATTTAACAATATGAGAGAATAAGGTGAAGTTTAAAAGAATACAACAAAACTTTGTGAAGTTCCTTACTTTTACTTCACTGTGGAAATATAAGTACTCATACAATCCCTTACATAAAAATTTCATGTTATTAGTGATCTTTACACACTCCTGGGGATGAGAGCTCGAGACACCCAGGGACACATGAACAAACTCCACTGACACTGAGCAGCATCCCAATGCTGATGGCCCAGAGCATAGGGAAGCACTGGCCTGACACATGGTGCCAGTCCACATCCTGGGCTCCCCTCAGGGCATCGTCTTAGGTTGGAAATGGGTGGGTGTATTATATTCCTATCTGTGGAGCAGTTCTGTTAAATGGGCAGTTTTCTTTATCTCTTCCACAACCAATCCTCCCTCTGGAGAGATAGCTTCTGTTAATGGGCCAATGAGTCTCAGCACATGTCTGGTAAAATTCCATCATCCCACTGTGAGATGCTCTGCCCAAAGGGAGAACCAAGTATTCCTACCTGGATATCATCAGAGATCTGGAACACCAGGGCAGCCTTTTCCCACTGCACTCCCGGAGGAGTGGCTGTCTTCTCCACAGGATTTCCAGTGCCAAACCAGCCATTCTAAACCATCACTGGACCTGCATCCTTCTCTAGGATCTCTGCTCCAACAGACCCACAGATGGCACTGCAGGAGGGCTGCAGCCACCATGGAATGGCACTGCTGCCACCACCCTGACACACACCATGTCGGGCTGTGTTCTGACTCTGTCTGTAGTTTATTTCTTTGTACTATTACATTTGTGGGGTTTTTTAGTTCTCCTACTAAAAAACTGTTATTCCTATTCCCATATCTTTGCCTGAGAGCCTTTTAATTTCAAAATTATAACAATTATAACTATTCAGCAGGAGGAGGTTTTATATTTCCATTTCAGGCGAGGCTCCATCCTTTCTTAAACAGATACCTGTCTTTTCAAGCTATGACAGACATTTGGCGCCCAACGTGGGGCTTGACAGCATAGAGAGAAAAAGAGTGAAAATAGGGAATAACAGTTCTTGAGTAATTTAATTTTTATGTGCTAATATAGAAACTCTCTTTAGTACCACCACGTGGTCCAGCTTACCCTAGTTTGGGTGACACGTGATCGTTGCTGTATTTCTCTCATTCAGGCCATTCAGGCCCTTATCTAAACATGGGTCCTATAGTTATGGCTACTGTGGCTGTTTTCCAGCTTGTTTTATGGGTTAATAAGGTGAGGAATTCATGGATCTTTAAGTTCCTCTGGATGGCAAGCACATGAATTCAGAGCTATCACACACTGACTGTATGTTTTTGGGGTTACTTTAATAATGGTAATTACTGCGAGGAAATGACACCAGGGGAAATTTTCTCCTAACCCTTCAACCAACTCTTTGGGTCTACTCTACCAGCTTTCAAAGGGTTCAGGTGCACTCTAAATGCTAATGATATCATACAATGGTTGGTGTTACTGATATGCCTGTTCTATATAGCATTTAGAGATAAGGGAAGATTAATCTGGATTACCACCCTGACACCTACCTCAAATACTATAGATGTTGCTACTCTAGAGCCTGACCCTGCCTCTCAGCCCACCTCAGAAATGAACCACCCAGACTGGGTGGGGGCTCTGGTGAAGGAGATACACGAGATGAGCCAGATGTAAAGGAGTACATTTCCCCAGCGGCTGAGAAGACCTCACCCATCATCAAAGAGGGAGAATCTGATGGTGCAGCAGTGGAACCCACAGATATTACAAGCACCCAAGTTCCAGCTGAACCACAAAGGCGGTCACAGCCAGCAGCAGTTGCCCCAGTAGAAACAAGGAGATCTAAGATGAAATCAGAGCACCCAGACAAGGAGAAGAATGGAGGGCCTTAAAAATCCACAGGGGAGCCAAAGGTTGCGATCATCACCAAGTCCCTGATGTAAAAAAGTCTCCATAATCTGCACAAAGACATTGTACGACGGGGACGTGAGACTTATACAAAATGGCTACTTCAGGTCTGGGACCTTATGGGTACAGACGTGCAACTGGATGGTGGTGAGGCAAGGAATTTGGGACCCTTGACCCAGGACTCAGGTATGAATCAGATTTTTTAAGGGAGTCTGACACTGTTGAGTCAGGGACGGTAAGAAAGTCTCCAGTCTTCAGGTCAGAAGGCTCAAGAATAATTTCTTTATTAGCAAGAAGTTGCGAGCTTTATAGTCTCACTCGCTAAGATGAGATCTGATTGGTCTCAAAGTAGAAACATCTCACATTACTGGTGACTATGAATAGCACCCTGTGGAGAGCCATAACTATAAACCATGGTTCCAGAAAGAGAGGTAATAATTGTTTACATTTTTTTGTCTAAGATTCCCAGGCTCAGTCTGGGAGAAATTGTTTCTGTTCTCTCTTCAACTGAACGGAGAATATGCACAGGAGTCAGAGTCCCTTTCCCTCTGGGAGCAGCTTTTAATGAGTGTCAGAGAGAGGTTTATCCATAGGGAGAGAATGCAGGACCACCACCGCAGAATGTGCTGGAAGGCCCTTGAGGAAGGGATACAGCAGTTGGCAGCATTGGAGGTACTCTTTGGGAGGGATGGACAGCATGATAATGACCCTGACAAGGTCGAGTGCACGGGGCAAATGTTGTCTGGCAAATCTGGGGCCATCTCAATACATCACCTTCATTGCAATGAATGATGCCAATACTAACTGAGAGACAGTGGGCTCTGTCGCCAACAAGCTTAGAAATTATGAGAATATGATCAATGGCCTGATGCAGGCTCATGTCTCTGCTGCGATTAAGGAGTTCAAAAAGGACATGAGGGAGATGAGGGAGGAGGTGAGGAAGATCAATGCAGCACCCGTGGTAGTCACAGGCCCCAAAGTCAGAGCCCAACATCCCCCAACTAGAGAGAGAGGCTACACGCCACG